GAACAACAGACTGGTTCCAAATAGGAAAAGGTGTATGTCAAGGTTGTATATTGTCACCCTGCTTATTTAACTTATATGCAGAGTGCATCATGAGAAACGCTGGGCTGGAAGAAGCACAACCACAATCAAGATTGCTGGGAGAAATATCAATAACCTCAGATATGCAGATGACACCACCCTTATGGCAGAAAGTGAAGAAGAACTAAAGAGTCTCTTGATGAAAGTGAAAGAGGGGAGTGAAAATGTTGGCTTAAAGCTCAACATTCAGAAAACTAAGATTGTGGCATCCGGTCCCATCACTTCATGGCAAATAGATGGGGAAACAGTGGAAACATTGGCTGACTTTATTTTTCTGGGCTCCAAAATCACTACAGATGGTGATTGCAGCCATGAAATTAAAAGACGTTTACTCCTTGGAAGGAAAGTTATGACCAACCTAGACAGCATATTAAAAAGCAGAGACATTACTTTGCCAACAAAGGTCCATCTAGTCAAGGCTATGGGTTTTCCAGTGGTCATGTATGGATGTGAGAGTCGGACTATAAAGAAAGCTGAGCACAGAAGAATTGATGCTTTTGAACTGTGGTGTTGGAGAAGACTCTTGAGAGTCCCTTGGACTGCAAGGAGATCCAACCAGTCCATCCTAAAGGAAATCAGTCTGGATGTTCATTGGAAGGACTGATGTTGAAGCTGAAACTCCAATACTTTGGCCACCTGATGTGAAGAGCTGACTCATTGGAAGAGACCCTGATGCTGGGAAAGATTGAGGGCAGGAGGAGAAGGGGATGACAGAGGATGAGATGGTTGGATGGCATCACCGACTCAATGGACATGGGTTCAGGGAGACTCCGGGAGTTGGTGATGGCAGGGAGGCCTGGCGTGCTGCAGTTCATGGGATCACAAAGAGTTGGACATGAGTGAACGACTGAACTGAACTGAATCTCAGATACAGGTAAGCTCTTTTTCCCCTGAACATGACTATGTGTAGCTTTCCTTCACTGTGTATCTTTTGCTAATTCTTTCTGCGTCATAATGCCCTTACTTCTCTTGAAAGAAAGTGAATGTCGCTCAGTCATGTCCAACTCTTTGCAACCCCAGGGACTATATAGTCCATGGAATTCTCTAGGCCAGAATACTGGAGTGGATAGACTTTCCTCTCTCCAGGGGACCTTCCCAACCCAGGGATCAAACCCAGGTCTCCCTCATTGTAGGCAAATTCTTTACCAGCTTCTCCTACTGATCCACAATTATTTTTAGACAAAATTTTAGTTAGATTCATTTGTTTCTGCTTCATAATAGCAAGGACAGGTCTTGATCTGCCATGGATCACAAAACAAGACCCTGAACAATGATGCTGAGCAAAGAACGGAGGTAGGGCACTGGAAAAGCAGCCACCCACTGTGAATGGTGAGCCTGAAATACAATGGGGTCACGCTCTGAAAAGAGGAAAATGCAAACACAAATCAAGAGATCTAATAGTTGATAGTAATACTTAAAAATTTTGTTCTAGCTGATGTCATCAGAACCTTTATTTTCTAAAATAAAAGCAAAAAATGTTCATGTTTTACATGATGAAAGCTTCCTGTGCCTTGTATTTAACACTCATATTTAAATATCTAAACATTCATATTTAATATATACCATTGTCAGTATAGGCGTAAACACATTTAGCCCACTACTTGCAAAGCTATTAGTTCTAGAAATAAAAGCCTTAGCTCTTGTCAGTAGAATCAGTGTTTCAGGAACTTTATAACAAAGTCAAGAAAGTCATAAGGAAAACTATAAGTCACTAAAGAAAGGCAAACAACAAAATAAAAACAACTAAAAGACCCAAGTTGACAGAAAGGCAAAATATAAGCACTAATTTTTCAGTAACATTTCCCGTCTGTGACAATTTTCTCTGATGCCGTAGTGATTATTTTACAGATCTCAGAGACTTTTCCTCTCTTAAAACACACACACATAAACGGGTGTGGGGAGGGAGGGACTCTATGCCTGTTTTCACAGTGCCTAAAGTAAAAAAGAGACACAATATTGAACAAAATGGACATGGACTGTGACTTTACAGGGCTTTCATCCTGGAGGAGAAGTCAGTTTTAGTCAGACAGCTGCACAGAGAGACAAGATGTCAGTGAATTAGTTATAAGGTGCTATGAGACCCTAAAATTCAAGGGGATGATCTTATCAGGTGGAGCAAGAAAGGGTTCCTTCAGGTAGCAAATGCTGTGTTGAGACACTAGGCAAAAAGGAAACAGGAGTGGTTATCCCACTTAGGGAGAATCAACCATGTGCAAAGATCTCAGTGGCGGCCACATGACAGGGAAGAAGCCCTGAAAGGCATGGGGAATGCAGGGAAGTAAGAGAGCATCATGTGGGTTGAGTTGGAGGCACTTAGAAAAAGTGTTCACCCATAGGAGTGTTGTAAGCCATGATAAAACCTGGTCTGCATTCTAAGGGGAATGGTCTTTAGAGAGGTGTGTCATCTCAATTTTCTATTTTGTAAAGCTCTATTTGCTACCCATGGAGACAGAGTAAGTGCATCAGTGCAAGTGAGCAGATAATTCAAGAGGCCTCTGGAGTAGCCCAGGGGAGAAATTAAGGTAGGACCAGGGTACTGATGGTCCCTAATGGAGAAGAGTGGATGAATTTAAGAAATTTTTTGGTAGGTAAATATGACCAGATTAGGTGGTGGAACTGTGGAATGAAAGAGTAAAGAGACTGATGATTCTTATTTTTTTTCCTGGTACAGGATGATGTCATTTACTGAGCTCAAGTCTGTTAAAAAAGCGTGTTTGTGGGATGGCCAAGAGCTTAGTTTGCGACATGTTAAATCAAGGCACTTAGGTGATTAGACATATCAATTCGGAAATGACTGGCACTAAGTAAATAAATAAATGAAAGTCAATATAAAGATTTTTATTCTCCCTTCTTCTCATACTGAGCACTGCATGAGGTAACCTATTTACTCTCTGCTCTGCCTTTCAGGATTATTGAACCTAATTCATGTATTTACTTCACTGTGTCACTTTGTCCTATCAATAAGCCTAATTCTCTATGTTTTTGTGGCTCAAGCATCTGGAAAGATTTCAAGTACCAATGATTCCAATGATTTAGCCATACATATATGGCTAAAGATATATGTATATACATGAAATTAAAAAAAAAAAAACACTGGTTGAGACCATATTCAAATTTTTAAAGCTACCTCATATTCATATTACATATTTAATGTCATTAAGGCTACCTCTGGAGAAGGAAATGGCAACCCACTCCAGTACTCTTGCCTGGAGAATCCCACAGACAGAGGAATCCGGTGGGCTGCAGTCCCTGGCGTCGCACAGAGTGGGACACGACTGCACAAGGCTACCTCACTCTTCAGAAGGCACACTAGCCTTGTAACTATCAGTGCTGCTGTGAGTATACTAAATGATGCCTAGGAAGTCAGTCCTGAGTATTCACTGGAAGGACTGATGCTGGAGCTGAAACTCCAGTACTTGGGCCACCTGATGAGAACTGACTCACTGGAAAAGACCCTGATGCTGCGAAAGACTGAAGGCGGGAGGAGAAGAGGACGACAGAGGGTGAGATGGTTGGATGGCATCACTGACATGATGGACATGGGTTTGAGTAGGCTCCGGGAGTTGGTGATGGACAGGGAAGCCTGGCGTGCTTGGCATCCATGTGGTCACGAAGAGTCAGACACCACTGAGCGACTGAACTGAACTGATATATTTACACAGGCATGTACATCCCCTCTTCAGACACTATTCTTTATTCCTTAAATTTATCTGTGCTTCAGCTAAACAGGAACAGCAGAAACAGATAAAAGTATTCTCTTCTGATCAAAACGAATTGAAAAGGCCACAGTGAGAAAAACAACCATCATAATACCGCCACCTCAGCTGACCTGCACTAATAACAAACAGGCCTTCCATTATCTCATTCTTTTATTACTTCTCCATTCATTACTTCCACTAAGAAAGTTCCCAGTATCTCATTTAGTTTTTTAAAGGAATTTTAATGGATGTGCTATGAATTTTCAATGAGCTATTTGAAATTTGAGGAATCTAATTAGGAATGTATTTACTTTCTCTTTTTTAAGTGTGATTAATTCTATCCAAGACTTTTAGCCTAATGTTACTCCAAAGGAAAAAATAAAATGGAAAAGGAGGTTCTACTTTTACAGACTAATGGACTGGCAATTAAAAAAATTGAATTAAACATTAACTCAGAAGAGTCGTTTTCAATATATAAATTATTTCTGTTTAGCCTTCTATTGCCAGGTTAATTAAGTAAATCCCTTTGGCCTTGATTATAGCCATTAGTAAATGAAAATGTAGTTGAATTCACTAAGTCTTCTCATTTACACTAGAGAATCTACATCAGTAGATACATTTCCTTGGCTAACAGCTTTCATAAAGTCCGATGTTTATTTAGAAAAAGTCAGCCTTATCTGTGAAAAACAAAAATTAATTAATTATATAATTCATTGTTTGGGCGGATAAACTCTCTGCAGCTTCTTGTGGGGTTGCCTTTAAGAAACAGACCCCAGATGGTCCACATCTAAAAAATGTGTCAAATCACCTCAGGCTCAGAGAATATCCTCAATTTCTTTAAGAAAAGAAAAAGGTGGAAAATTTAGAATGTCTTCCTCAAGTTGTTTTATTTAAAAAAAGCTCAAGGACAAAAGCCATGAAAACAATTCTTAAGATAAATGAATAAATCATGTGCATAAAGAGCACAATATAATAAAATATACATAGAAAAAAATCTACACTAAAATGATTTGTAATGTATCTTCTGTATATTCAGATTTATCATTTTATGCTACAGTTATAATGAATTAACCTGAACATAATCCAATACATTCTTCTGTTTATGTCTTAAAAGTAGTCCTTCTCTTTCCCTGGTGTGATTCTGTCCTGCGCGGCTGCTCATTCGAAGAGTAGTCGTTTAATTCCGTCCGGCTTCTCTCCCACATAAGTGCGTGCCGCCAACCCATGGAGGATTCGATGGACATGGACATGAGCCCCTTGAGGCCCCAGAACTATCTTTTCGGTTATGAACTAAAGGCTGACAGAGATTATCACTTCAAGGTGGATAATGATGAAAATGAGCACCAGTTATCTTTAAGAACGGTCAGTTTAGGGGCTGGAGCAAAGGATGAGTTACACATTGTTGAAGCAGAGGCGATGAATTATGAAGGCAGTCCAATTAAAGTAACACTGGCAACTTTGAAAATGTCTGTACAGCCAACGGTTTCTCTTGGGGGCTTTGAAATTACACCACCTGTGGTCTTACGGTTGAAGTGTGGTTCAGGGCCTGTGCATATCAGTGGACAGCACTTAGTAGCTGTGGAGGAAGATGCAGAGTCAGAAGATGAAGAGGAGGAGGATGTGAAACTCCTAAGTATATCTGGAAAGCGTTCTGCCCCTGGAAGTGGTAGCAAGGTTCCCCAGAAAAAAGTAAAGCTTGCTGCTGATGAAGACGATGATGATGATGACGATTTTGATGAGGAAGTTGAAGAAAAAGCTCCAGTAAAGAAATCTGTACGAGATACTCCAGCCAAAAATGCACAAAAATCGAACCAAAATGGAAAAGACTCAAAACCATCAACACCAAGATCAAAAGGTCAAGAATCCTTCAAAAAACAGGAAAAAACCCCTAAAACACCGAAGGACCTAGCTCTGTAGAAGACATTAAAGCAAAAATGCAAGCAAGTATAGAAAAAGGTGGTTCACTTCCCAAAGTGGAAGCCAAGTTTATCAATTATGTGAAGAATTGTTTCCGGATGACTGACCAGGAGGCTATTCAAGATCTCTGGCAGTGGAGGAAGTCTCTTTAAGAAAATAGTTTAAACAGTTTGTTAAAACTTTTCCGTCTTATTTCATTTCTGTAACAGTTGATATCTGGCTGTCATTTTTATAATGCAGAGTGAGAACTTTCCCTACCGTGTCTGATAAATGTTGTCCACGTTCCATTGCCAAGAATGTGTTGTCCAAAATGCCTGTTTAGTTTTTAAAGATGGAACTCCACCCTTTGCTTGGTTTTAAGTATGTATGGAATGTTATGATAGGAATAGTAGTAGTGGTGGTCAGACAGATGGAAATGGTGGGGAGACAAAAATATACATGTGAAATAAACTCAGTATTTTAATAAAAAAAAAAAGTAGTCCTTCTATATTACTTTCAGAACACTAGCAACAACATACTGGCGGCCTGTTTTAAGTCCTTTACAAGGGTAACACTATGATTCAGAAATAAATTCTTAACAGTCTCTATATTCTCTAAGGACACAGACCTGTCTGTTGGTGGCATATTAAGCTGCAATATGTTGCAAAATAAAAGTAAGGTTATTAAGTATCTCCTACTCATTCCCTTCAAGGATATTTCAATTGCCAAGCACCAAATTACTAGGACAATGTCAGTCAGTCAGTAGGGCAATGTAGGCTACATCAAATTTATGCTGTCTGTAAAAATATACCCATAATCATTTTCTATATGGTCACAATGTGATACAAATATATCCTTAACAGCAGCAAGAGACACTTAAATCAAGAGTTTTGGCTAAGTAAAAAAGAAATATTCTAAATTTAAACCAAACAAACTAGAAAAATGGCAAAAAGATACAATCTAACACATGGACCAGGAAAGTCTAAAGTTTGAAATAAACTGTCTTTACTATCAAACCCTGTGAATACAAATAATCATGTAATTAATGTATTTACCTGATTTATCCAGCAACTAGAAAGAAGAGAGATAAACATGTAGCTGGGAATTTGGTGTTGGGTCGTATACACAATACTTCATGTGCCTTTCCTACATATGATTTCCCTGTCCTTAGTTTTTCTAAATGCATATGTATAGGCCTCCATAACTCCTTCAGTGACACAGAGAACATGTCATTCAGTAAATCAACCAATCAAGAAAAGTACTATTTCTAGCACCAGTCCCTTACCTTCTATGAAGCAACAGGGATCACAGACCTGGAAGGAGTACTAGAGTATCAAGAGGCAAAAACAGGGATTTTATTCCATCTTCATAATTCATCAGCTAAGGAACTTTGATAAAAAACTTGGTCATTCTTAATCTATTTATTCATGTGCAACCATTATTATGTTAATCTCTCCCACATCTATGTCTCAAGACTGCAAATACAATTTATAATAACACAAGTGAAATATCAAAATTTTTTTGAATATTCCATAAAAGTATAGGTTAGCAACATCAGCGTGGTAGAATTTGTATCTCCAAAAAGACAGGACTCAAAAAACAAAAGAAATATTCAGTGATGAATAATATTGGCTTTTAATTTGTATTTTCATTAGCAGGATTTCTAGTTAGCCTCACCTAAAGTGTTTTTAAACCCACTGGCAATGACCAAACTGAATGCGATCAACTTACTTCTGGAGCCTGAAGAGTTCCTCACTGCAGAGAAGGAGTCAGCAGTCTGCCTGGCTGCTGCAGAAGACAGACAGGGTGAAAGCATCTCCAAAGTTGATTTTGAGGATGGTGATAGAAGTAAGGGTGCTCAGCTACTACATATCTTCCCCAACACCTGGCAGAATGGTTACAGGGACTCTTCAAAGGAGACAAGAATAAAAAAGAAAGGATATCAAAATATGCTAATGATGTATCTTTGAAAAATATAGTTGCTGTTAAATGTGTGATCAATTTCAATCTCTATCAGGAATATCACTAAATAGAACTTAAATATTCATAGATTTGCATAATAAGGCTTTCCAGTGGAATCTGTAATAGGCTCTGATTCTAATAAATATGTCAGCAGTCTGCTTTTCACTTTTGGAAGTTTTCTTATCTCATAATTGAAAATAGTTTAAACAATCATACAGTACATCAAAGTTCAATTTTCTTTGTATTTCAATGACTTCAACTTGTAGGCTACTGTTAAATACTAATCATCCCTACTAAGTACCAGAAACCCTACAATGGGGATACAGCAATGAATGAATGAATGAATCTCATCAGTCTTGCCCTCATGGAGTTAAAGAGGGCTTCCCTTGTAGTTCAGTTGGTAAAGAATCCGCCTGCAATACAGGAGACCCCGCTTCAATTCCTGGGTCGGGAAGATCTGCTGGAGAAGGGATAGGCTACCTACTCCAGTATTCTCAGGCTTCCCTGGTGGTTCAGCTGGTAAAGAATCAGCCTGCAATGCAGGAGATCTGGGTTGGGAAGATCCCCTGAAGAAGGGAACAGCTACCCACTCCAATATTCTGGCCTGGAGAATTCCATGGACTGTATAGCCAATGGGGTCGCAAAGAGTTGGACATGACTGAGTGACTTTCACTTTCATGGAGTTAATAGTTTGCCAAGTTGCCTGTTCTTTTCTTAAATAGATAAAATTCATTTACTTCAACCCATACATCTAGGGAGAAAATACAGAGATGTACCATTTGTATTTTAACTCCACGTCAGCAGATTGCTGATTTCTGTTTCTAAAAGTTCCATGTCAATCTAAATAATAATCAACCTTGCTCTATGAGACACAATATTTACTTGCTTTCCCTCAAGATCTATATAATAGTATCACTGACACTCAATCACTGTCAATTTTTAATGTAGAAATAGGCTAAGTTTTAAAAATGTTCTTGAAATGAGTAAAAGCATTTTGGTTTTACTTTGGCTATGACTTATTTTATCCACAGAGGCAAACATGAGGAGTAGTACAATTCCAAAGAATGAGAATAAATACAGACTGAAGATGATACAAGGATGACTCAAGTTTAGCTTATTGTTTCTGCTATCTCCATTTGTAAAGATGTGTGAAAGATCTTATAGAGTCAAAATTTAAGAGGGTGATTACATTGTTCTGAGAGATGTAATAATTACAACTTTATCCAAAAAGAAAGGGAAACTATTGCTAAGTTAATATGGAATTTATTCCAAAATTCTAAAAATCAATGCACAGATAAGTGATAAAGTTGACTAAAAGTACAAGAATCTGCCTGCAATGCAGGAGAACTGGATTCGATGCCTGAGTTGGAAAGATCCCCTGGAGAATGGAATGGCTACCTACTCCAGTTCCCTGGCTTGGAGAGTTCCATAGACTATTCCACGGGGTTGCAAAGAGTCGGATATGACTGAGCAACTTTCACTTCCACTTTTCACATTACATTTTCTTTATTTCAAAGTATTTTTATGAATATGACAACCAATGCTATCTTTAAAATTTATATTTATTATAAAAGAAAGATGCTATTATAAAATTATAGAATAAATAAGACATAACCCCTATAGAGAAAGATAAATAAATCATATGCCAACCATCTGAGATAGCTATTGCTTGCCTTTTCATTTATTTCCTTCCATAATATTTTAAAATACATTTTACATTTATATATATATATGGCAAAAACGTAAGAAAGACACAGCCCTTTCAGAAAGAACAAATTTCACATTTCAGAACATCCTCTCAGAAATATTTCATGCATATATAAATGTGTGTGCATATGTGTAGATTTTTATTCATATACAAGAATACTGTATGCTGTTTTGTTCTATCCCTTTAATGTATCCTGGAGATTATTCAATTTCTATCTTCTATCATCAACACCATCCATCCTATCAGTCAATATCTTTCATGTGAATATAACATAATCTGCTCATAATACATCCCAACTGAAAGGCACCATTTCTAGGATTTTGTTATTATAAAAAGAAGATATTATCATAACAATTATATAACTCATCCACATATCTACACACATGTGTGACTGAATAGTATATTAAATTCCTGGTATAAGTATCATAAGTTCCTAGAACTAAAATATTTAAGCGAAAAAATTTCATTGTTTTAGGAACTATATTTTCCCTTATCTGCAGTATGAGGTAGCATTTACTACAGCAAGTAGTATTGTTACTGCTGCTGCTGCTATCAGTATTGTTACTACAACAAGAATAAATCTGAATTTAGAATTTTACTTTATAATAGTGCATTATGACAGCAAAGTATAAATACTTTCAATTATTATGCTAACTAAAAGAAAATGAAAAAACTAAGGATTGATGATTAAGGGTATTTCTGTGTCTTCATTTTAATATGAAAAGTACAGAAACTGACACAATCCTATATAATTCAAATTCCCCAGGCAAAGTTCTTTATATGTATGGTTACATAATTTATGAATGACAACATTTTTCTTTTGTTATACTGTCTTTTATTAAGCAATTACTATACTATGCACCAGCTACAAAAAAGCAGGTGTTATCCAAATCAATTCTCCCAAGAATCAACTGAGTTAAACACATATTCATCTACATCACTATTGAAAAAGAGGAGGAATAGAGATAAGCCAAGAAATCTTTAAAAGGTTATAGAGCTAGTACCTGCCAAAGCTGGAGGTCTCACCAGGGCTGCTGCTGCTGCTAAGTCTCTTCAGTCGTGTCCGACTCTGTGCGGCCCCATAGAAGGCAGCCCACCAGGCTCCCCCGTCCCTGGGATTCTCCAGGCAAGAACACTGGAGTGGGTTGCCATTTCCTTCTCCAATGCATGAAAGTGA